GCAGAGCAGACAATAGACCGTTATACAATATGTAGTGTAAAGGGAATGAAAGGTTATAGAAAATTTAGTGCGGTTGTGCGAGGGGAAGTATTGAGACCATACAAATCTATCATATCTGATGCAGATAGTTCATCTACTGATAGGGAAGTGGATAGGGATGATCTTATTGACCTGCTAGAGAGTTGAATAAAACAAAAATATTATATTTATAGTTACAAATGTATATTACAAGTTTTGGAATTATTACTCCTTATTTTCGTTATTTTATTAAATAGTCTGAAGTTCTGCTCATCTCTATTACGTAGGAATCAATAAATTAAGCTCAAGAGTATTGTATTTAACGTTATAGAATTAAGTTAAAATCGAATATATTATGATAAATATAGATTAGTCATTTATTAAATGGATCCTTTACTAATATAAGGAGTTCCGTATTAATAAGGAGTTAGAACATTTTAATAATGAGTAATTGGATAGTTACCAACTCAAATTTACTGTATAAATATTTTTTTTTAATATTATTACAAACTTATAAATCTAAATTAGTAAATTATTACAATGAATCCTTAGGCTTATTAAGAGGGTTGGATCAATTAAAATATGTCTTGTAATATCATTATACATATACTTCAACATCAATATGTTGAAATCTCCATTTTGGAATAGCCACATCCATCTGAAATATAAGCAATGGGACTATTAACCCTGTGAAGATACATTGCTCTATCTATATTAGTATATTGTCAATTACAATACCAATTACAAGTAGGAGAAAGTATATTAGGTAAGATGGACATTAAAGGAATAATTATAATTAATTAATATCCTTTATGTAACTAGAGAACATTTAAGATGTTATTAATACTCAGTTACCTAACAGGACACCCGGGTCTACTTAAAATTTTGTGTGACCGATCCGTCTGTGTGACCAACACCTGTCTGTGTGACCAACACCTGCCTGTGTGACCGACTTCTGTCTGTGTGACCGACTTCAGTCTGTGTGACCGACTTCTGGCTGTGTGACCGACTTCTGTCTGTGTGACCGACTTCTGTCTGTGTGACCGACTTCTGTCTGTGTGACCAGTCTATGTGACCAGTCTGTGTGACCAGTCTATGTGACCAGTCTATGTGACCAGTCTATGTGACCAGTCTATGTGACCAGTCTATGTGACCAGTCTGTGACCAGTCTATGTGACCAGTCTATGTGACCAGTCTATGTGACCAGTCCGTGTGATCAGTCTGTGTGACCAGTCTTTGTGACCAAGCACTAAAGTTTCTTCCGTAACAGACTTCAATTACGTGAACAAAGCAATTTTTTTTTTTGTTTGTTTTTATAAAAAATTCCTTTAGAATTTATAAGACATCTGCTTAACTTCTCTTATCAAACTTTTATTGTTCACTTTCTTTTGAATTTTTCAGGCATTACATGGAACCGAGACCAAGATGCTGTCTGATCGCCGTGGGACACGGCCGTTGCAGGATGGCCGAATGTTAGCAAATGTTTCCCGCCCTCAGCCATAATTATAAATTTACTTACTCTTAAACCTCTTATCATTGAACATCACTTGATTTAATAAATTTAACTTAATTAAAATTACTTGATTAAATAAATGCATTATTATTCGATTTATAGTATATTAAAATATTTAAGTACGATAAAAAGTTTGTAATTACAGTATAGAATTAGATTCCGGATGTGATAAATAATGTAGGTGATTTTAAACGACTTCCGTTTATGAATAATTGTAAACCGCATAACGCGGGTATAAAAACAAAAGCATGACGCCGACTAGATTCATTGTAATTTACATAGTTGCATTAAGCAGAAACTCTGTCAATTATATATTAGATTAAAACGATATTAAAGTTTTATTTGAAAATCGACAACCACACTCTGTTACATAATTTTACTTTTAAACTTGTTTTCTTAACCTTACATTTACCTACACATAATATGGACCTCCGAATATCCTAAAACTTTCATACTGAATGATATTTGACACCCGTATTTTTGAATTTAGTTATATTTTTATAAATGTAGATGCGGACGTCGGCATATCGGTTTATTTCATGCTGCACTATATTTTAACATTTTACATTTGGTACTTTGTAAGCAACCCATAATTCTATTTGAGTATAAGTTACCTTCTTATTGATTACAGGAAGATGGACTCAATTGTAGATATTGACAGGTTTCATAGAAATTTGTTTTATTATATTGTGACTAATAACCTCTGACTAATAACCTAATCTGGTCTGGCGAAGAAACTCATTTTAATATAAGGTTTTACTGCATTAACTGCCAATAGGCTGTTAATTTCTACAATAGACCGTGGCATATTGTTGCTGACATGAATAACTCCGAAAATATAATTTATTTACTTGATTGTGTTGAGTTTTGGTGCTCTCACCGCATCTTAAGAATGAGTGTGACTATTGTACCTAATCTGTACGAAATTACTCTCTACTTAACTAGATTCATTTTTGTGAAAGGCTATTTTTGTTAAATTATGATATTATGTTTGGTTTTACAGTTAGTGGAAATACAATTTAATTTATCACACAAGTTTTATAAGCTTCTAAGCGTTTTATCATTTCTAGAATGAAACATTTTATAAAACACCAAAGTGACTATTTTACACCACATGGCCTCCCTACACTAAAATACGAATAAAACAATAGCGAAAAATATCATTACAGCAATGATCATTAATGTGTGATTAATACACAAGGAATTAAAATATAAATATATTCATAGTTATATGGAAGTCAAATATCGTGCGGTATTAAACTTTACCGATAATCTGACGTCCACATATAGAAATAAAACAAAATTCAAAAATATGGACATCAAATATCATTCAGTATGAATGTTTTAGAATATTCGGACGTCCATATTATTATGTGTATACAGGTAGTAATTTAAAGGTAAAATTTTGGCGCATACAGTGCCCCAAAAACCACTACAAACGGCAACATTTATTAAAAAAGAAATAAGAAAGATTTTCTAAGCGTTATATCATTTTGAGAATGGAGCATTTTATGTAACACCAAAGTGACTATTTATACCGCATGGGCTCCCTACACTAAAATAGAAATAAAACAATAGCGAAAAATGTCATTAAAGTAATGATCATTAATGTGTGTCTTATGCACAAGAAATTAAAATATAAATATATTCATGGTTATATGGACGTCAAATATTGTACGGTATGAAACTTTACCTATAATCTGACGTCCACATATAGAAATATAACAAAATTAAAAAACATGGACGTCAAATATCATTCAGTATGAATGTTTTAGGATATTTGGACGTCCATATTATTATATGTAGCTAAATCTAAGGACACGAAAACAAATTGGAAAGTAAAATTATCTACTAGCACTGAGTACAGTATAAACCGACAAAAAATACCAAAATATGCCTTGAGCACTAAATAAATAATCAACATAAATAAATAGTAAAATGCAATAATAAACAAAAACTTTGGACATAGGATATCGAAGAAGTGAATGTCAAATAAAACTTAGTGTGAATATTTTAGGATATTCTTACGTCCGTATATGTGATCATTAAAAGTAAACTCGCAGTGAGAGCACCAAAACTCAATACGATCAAGTAAACAAATTATATTTTCGGAGTTATTCATGTCAGCAACAATACGCCACAGTCTAATGTAGAAATTATCAACCCATTGGCAGTTAATGCAGTAAAACCTTATATTAAAATGAGTTTCTTCCCAATGTCATATTAGGTTATTAGACACTATAAGAAAATGAACTTCTATTAAACCTGTCAATATCTACAATTTGTACCTACTTATTTACAATAGTAAAATAAATAGTAATATAGTCAATCTATAATGTATCACGGCTGGGCAATCCTAGATATTTTTTCGTATTTAGTAAACGAATAACTAGTTGGTAAATTAATCATGATATCTATCTGTTTTTTTTCGCCGGAAACAAAAATGATATTGCGTATTTTTCGTAACTCTACATTCTGTGGATTTATTTCATTATTTTGAACAATTAAGTGACTAAAATTAAATCTAATCTAAACTAGAATCATAAAAACTGTATTATTCGTGCTAAACGAATCTAATAACGATCTGTTATTTTTGTCTCCTGTGAAAAAAACAGACTATAGGAATCTATCGAATACCTACGTTAACAAAATATTACCTATAAATAAAATATTACAAAGCGGAATAACTAATAAGAGTGGCAACCTCGCACCATACAAAGGAATTGCGTTAAGCAGGAGAATGAATTAAAAACTATGTATATTATGGGGATTCTGGATAATTTGTAATATGGAAAGGAGTCCTGATTGGTTTCCCTCCGTCTGGCAATATACGAATATTTGTATATGGACATATGGTAAATTTTCAAAGAAATGAGTTAAACACTATCTTTGAAATTGTTTAATGGACAAATATACGCTGTCATAATGTATAAAAAATGCCTACAAGTGGTGGACGCTATAATAATGCGAAATGAAAAGACGTAGAATCAATATTGTGATGTATATATATATATATATATATATATATATATATATATATATTTATATTTTTATCTATAAATAACTTCTCTACATGTTTCATTTTATCTTTGCATAACTCAGGTTGACTGGTAGGGAATGTCTTAGACATAAAGTCAAACTATACATCAAATTAAATTAATTAATTAAATACATTTATTAAATGCCTCACATATGTTCAAACATTTGTTTATAATCATAAAGGAATTATTTATTTAAGATTATAGAAAATGTTTTACAGTACATATAAAAAACCCTTCTCTATAAAATAACCATAGAACATGTTCTAAATTGGTAACATAATTATTTAACATTAAAACAAAAGCCACTATTTCCAAAAGTTCGTAACATTGAACCTGACTTGATGATATATAAAATGAAAATGTTTTAATATATTCTCAGAAAGTTATAAGCTGCAGAGTTTTAAGCAAAGATATAGCGAGACATTTACCTGGACATATCATTTGGGTCAAATGAAACCCCAATCCCAGGGTTTGCCATCATGAAGCCGAGTACAATGCAATACAATTAGGATTCTACCGTCCCCTCATCACTGCCGGAAGTGAACTCGGTGCACCAAGTCGACCGGCCTCTGTAACTCCGTTACAACCAAATTACGTGATATTACTTTTACGAATTATTGTCACACTAATAAACAATTTCTACACCTTTTCAAACGCGATAATTTCAAATTGTTGTCATGTATTCTCTGGTAGTGTCATCAATGCTCACCACACAATGTTCACATCAAAACACATGTTTTCGTCATCAAAGCGCGCTTAACAAGCGTCGCTATTCACACGCGCTTTTTCCCGACTAACTTTGAGATGAAGTAAATGAAATATCTATAATTAGATTGAATTAAAAATAATGTTCTCTCGTGTAACACACGCAAAGTTTCGGTTTCAGACGATAGGGCGTAGACAAAACTGCAGACTTTTTATTTTTGACGCATTGACGCATAATCTTCCAGAATTGTGTCTGTGGTTTTATCGGATACTCGCTGAATACTCAAAGGATACTCGAACACTACGTAATTATCCGTAATTATCACCTTTTAAATAATAAAATAAAATATAAAATCTTACCGTTATATTGCATACATAACTAAAATTAGTGGTTCAAAAATTGATTTTAAAAATTTAAAATATATATGTAAAATTACGCAAGTTTTTTTACAGTTGACAACATGATTTTTATTACACATACCTACACATCATCTTCGAAATTTTAGTCTATGGATCGTGTCCATTGTTTTTCCACAATGTTATTTTTCTGACTGCTGCTGGTGGACGAAATATTTGTCTCGCTGCGTCGAGTGTGACTTTGTGCTAGTGTTCGTGTTCGATATAGTGATTTATTCGAAATAGATCACGAAGATGTCGTCACCGAGCGCTGGTAAACGTCGTATGGACACAGATGTCATCAAACTGTATCCTTTGTTATCTTCATTACAAAGCACCTATTGCATTGAGGGCCACCATGTAAATAAGTAGGTAGCTTGAAGGGCCATCAGCTGATTGTCATGACTCAATTTTAAAATCGATAGAAATACATATTAAACTTTTGTAGGATGTTTCCCGTATTATAATTAATGGTTTGAAGTTCAAGTATGCCCATATTTCATAACTAATGAGACCTTAGATAGATATCCATGAGAAGTGTACATTCTTTGTGGAACGCTGTGGTACTACGTATCTATATATATCACAGAAAATACGCACGAGTGTATGCTCGCAAGTTGTGCTCTTCCGCGTCTCTAGATTGTATTATTTCGTAATCTTTATGTAGGCCACGGTCTCAATTGCGTATTTTTTTCTATTCGCTAAGGTCTAACACGCACGTATTTTGTCCTGCGATAAATGGTTTTTACATTTTACTCTCAAATTAAGTAGGGTCAATAAAGAGCTGTTTTGCTTGAATTAGTAAAGATAATATGTGTACTCTGTTAGACAAAGAAAACAATGAAGTCCTTTGTCATGACTATTTCTATTATGGCGTATTAATTTATATATTGTGTTGATATTTTTGATATTTAATTTATTCAAGAACCTAATGGAAAAATTTATTTGGCTTTATTCCAAATCATTCACTAAATATTATAACATCATAAGTCATAACAGTAAATAAACTACAGAAGTTGCAATTGGTTAATTAAAAAACATTTTTTTTTTCAACAAAGTAAACTAGGCACTCTTATTTTTTTGGTCATTGACCTATTTTCAAATAATTATAATTATTATATTTTTTGAGTACTATTATAAATCAATGAAATAATAAATTACCGGCCACTTAAAGAATGAGTTAACTACACATAATATTAAATGAAAACTCAAGACATACTTTCCTTTTTAAATATGAGTGCTGATTATTATAATTATAAATGCAAAATTGTATCATTTTCGTATAGGCAGTAATTAATGTTGTCTTGTTGATATAAAATATGTCTGTTTGATGTGAATTTGTGCACTGTCGACAAACCTCAGAGGTTTTTAACAATGCCATTTACATGTTTGTATCAATTTCCGTAGAGATAAATAAATGAAAAAAAAAACTATAATAATAAATATGTTTTGTAAAATTTTAATGTTACTTTTCATTCATTCATTCTTTACTGCCTACAACACTCCACTGCTGAACAAATACATTTGCAATAGTTACCTTGCTAGGAGGGGGGGGGGGGAACTGCAGATTTACATTGTTTAAAGTTGCCAACAGGAACATACTGTTGCTGGATTATCATATGTTGCTAATACATCATGAAGATCAACAATTTATTTGTTTTAAGTTAAGCTTATTCGCTCTGCACTCAACTGTCTGCCTCCAAGTCTTCAAATGTTAGATATCAGTTGCTTCATTTAAATTTATTTTTATTTTCTATGTAAGTTTTTCTTTATTTTCCTACATATTATTTACATTGCATTTCAATTCTTAAAAAATCATATCACATTCCATTTAAATGTTACTTTCCAGTTTTAATACTCTCTAAAAACATTATTCCAAAGTGGGAATAGGTACAATAATTCAAAATTATTTTAACAATCATGCATTTCTCAAGAAAATAAGATACTTTACGGAATATTATATGTATACTTATACGTGGTAGAGCCATGCTGCAGTCATTGTTGTATCACAACTAGATCAGCTTGACCAGAGAATATCCACTCTCTTACAGAATACTAGTGTGAAGTAGCAGCATATTGCTGCTGTGTTTCATATGGAGAGTGTAGAGAATCTGAGACCCATTTTACAGTAAACTAGGCATTCCATCTTAGTCCTCAGAGGTGACAATGCATTTGCATTTTGATTCTTAAATGAAGATAGATTTGGATGTCTATGGGCCACAGCATCCACTTACCATTATCTTATCATCATTTGTTACAGGGAGTTGCAATAGTGACATGAAGCATGTTTAAAAACAAATATTTTATTTACATGGCAGCAATGCATAATTCTTGTATGGTGATGGTGATTTTTATACCATCTGGAAAAAAAAGGTGTGACAGGGGAACGGAACAAAAGCCTGTGACGCTGATATTTTAAAACTTTTTTTTTAAACAATAACATATTATGAAATTTAATTATCAATAAATACTTCTAAGTTGGTTGTAATATTTGAATTTGGATAATTTTTAATTGATTTATTTATTTAGTTCAAAAATTTTGTTGTTATTGTTTTAGTACTGAAAGTTTAATGCAAATTAGTAGTCTTTTTATTGATAGATCAATTTCATAATATATTAATGTAAAATAAAAATAAAATTGTAAAATATCAATGCTAGGCTTCTATACCGTTCACCTCTTACACCCTATTTTTTCCAGATGGTAAGAAATCACCCAGTATATGTAACTAGTATTTTAGAAATGGCTCTAACAATTAAGATGAAATTTTGTATTTAGGTAATGTGCTACTTTCCAAGTTAATCTAGATAGGTGTCATAAATCACTAAAAAAATTATAACTGAGCAAAGCTTGGTCTCCCAGGTACTTTTAATTAAACAAGTTCCACGTGCTGCATTTTATTTTAAAATAAATGTAATGTTAATTTGATTGTGTATCCGCATTTTTATATTTCTCATATTTCTTTAATATACACTAGCTGAATGCATCTTCCAATCTTTTTTTTTGCAATTAGCGAATATCTTGTGCAACTGAAATATTATCAGTTGTTTCAACTGCTTGCCTGATAATATGAATTAAATCTCAATAATTCAAATGTTCTTTCCTTTAGTATGTTTTTTTACTTTTAGTATCTGGTTTATGCAATATTTTTGTCAATTGTAAATTAATTTCTTTAAATTGGTTATAGAGGACTACTTTTACGGACTTTATCGCGTTATCGCGTTTTATTTTAACTATTTTAAATTCCCGACATTTCGGGTGCTTTCCCCCTTTCACTTTTTTTAAATCTTAGAGTACTATTGCACTGCAAGACTTTAAACACACTAAGTTCATTCTGCTTCAGATCGGAGTAAAAACAATAATTAAAAAGCTGAAGGTACTCCGGGTTAACACTTACATCGGGGCGTCAGTCATTTCAGTCTCCTGTTACCATGGGTATTGGAAATCACCCGAAACATCGGGAATTAAGAATAATTAAAATCAAACGCAATAAAATCCGTAAAAGTAGTTTTTATCAATGTGTAGTGTTCGCGTAAATATAATAAATCATTATGGTTATAGAGGATTCAGGAAAGATCTCATATAAGTTGGAAGAAAAATTTCACTCCCTAAGGTTGGAAAAATATAAAATGAAGTTTTTAATCTATTCAGACAACATGTAAACATGTGATATTTATCAACCACTAAAAAAGGCTTTAATACTTCTACAAACTAGGTCTTATCACCATCTGAAATTACTTTTAGTTTTTCAGTGTCGGCTTTTACTTATAAAGTGTAATTTAATTCGTGCCATGTTTACTATATGAGTGCACAGACTGAACTTTTACTTATAAAGTGTAATTTAATTCGTGCCATGTTTACTATATGAGTGCACAGACTGAACTTTTACTTATAAAGTGTAATTTAATTCGTGCCATGTTTACTATATGAGTGCACAGACTGAACTTTTACTTATAAAGTGTAATTTAATTCGTGCCATGTTTACTATATGAGTGCACAGACTGAACTTTTACTTATAAAGTGTAATTTAATTCGTGCCATGTTTACTATATGAGTGCACAGACTGAACTTTTACTTATAAAGTGTAATTTAATTTGTGCCATGTTTACTATATGAGTGCACAGACTGAACTTTTACTTATAAAGTGTAATTTAATTCATGCCATGTTTACTATATGAGTGCACAGACTGAACTTTTACTTATAAAGTGTAATTTAATTCGTGCCATGTTTACTATATGAGTGCACAGACTGAACTTTTACTTATAAAGTGTAATTTAATTCGTGCCATGTTTACTATATGAGTGCACAGACTGAACTTTTACTTATAAAGTGTAATTTAATTTGTGCTATGTTTACTATATGAGTGCACAGACTGAAC